GGTGGCGAGTTATGTGCAGCAGATGTGTATGTCGATCATCTGATCTAGGCCACAACTCGTTTTCAGGGTCGATGTCCGTGGGAAAATATGTACAGTGTGTGGAAAGTGGAGCTGCGGATGGAGTATCTTTCAATCTTTCGGAGCTGAAAGATCTCGCATCTCCAATCATATGGAAAAATAATTTAGAAGGTGGGGGTTGGGGGGTGGGGGTGGCGGGATGCGTAAGAAAAAGAAATGTGCCCTGTCAGAGAGTCAGTGCACTGAAATCGAAAAGACGAAAAAGGTCCGAAAGTCTACCCTCATGTAAATCGCAGCCATTTGGGCTCTACAGAAGTCTCTTTTGCTCATTGACAATCTGGTTCACGATATCCAGAAGAACATCGTGACATCGCTCGCTCGCTCGCTTTTGCATGCGTCCCCATTCATTATTCACTGCGTTTTCCCTCCCGATGCAAGCCAACCCGACCCAAGCAAAGCAAAGCCAAGCCAAGCCTAGCCAACCCAACCCAACAGAACCCAACAGAGCGTAACAAGAGGAGCCAAGTATGGCAGGGAAGACTCTTTCCATGCTCCCTGGGATGGAACCGAGGGGCTAGCATATAACAAGCAAGGAAATTAAGTGCTGTACAGTGTGAGAATGAATGAACGGATGGATGGATGGTTGAATGAATGGATGAACGAGTGAATAAATGAATAAATGAATCAATCAATCAATGAAGATGGAAGGAAGGAAACGAGCGAGCGAAGGAAGGTTGACCTTCGAGCATTCATTTGTTGAGACTGTACTGCCCTTTCGAGCCCAGTGCATTGCCTTGCATGCCTTTAGCAGTAAGTTGCATGTTGGCCAAGGGAAAGAGCGAGAGAGATGGATAGAGAGTTGAAGAGAGAGCCTTTCTTTTAAGTTGATGATTTGCTAGGAGGGAGGGAGGGAGGGAGGAGGAGGAGGAGGAGGACATGGCGGATGAGGAAGAGTGGGTCGAAATATTCCTTTTCGTCTCGTGCCTTTTGGGCGAGAAGGGTGATGGTCGCAAACTCTCCTCGTCGCGCGCTCATCAGCCTCGATTCGAGCTCGTGGAGAATGGGGAGGTGTGCAGATTCGATCGAGCGGGTAACATGTGAGGGAGGGCGAGAAAAGCAACGCTTCAGTCCGTCTGCCTTCGAGCTGGAATAGAGTGGAGTGGAGTTGACGGACGGAGAAATCGAAGCCCGTGCGAGGTCGCGATGCATTCATAGTTGCGCTTTTTGATCCGATCCGATTCGTTCGGAAGTGCGAGCAAGAGTGAGATCGATGAGTTTGGGGAGAGCCGGGCTCCCAAAAGCTCCTCCTCCCATCACTCGCACATCCAATCAACTCCAAACACCATCCCATCCCATCCCATCCCATCCACCTCGTCGACGGCAAACATTCAGAGAGAGAGAGAGAGAAAGCAAGCCTGACTCACTGACCTAATGATGGGCGGAGAAGGTCGACGAGCAATGGATGCCGGGGTTAGAGGATCGAAGAATAAGAGGAGGATTGTGGGGAGGATTTGGAGGGAGGGAGGGAGGGAGGGAGGTGGGGGGTGTGTCGACGAGCTTGCTTATTGATGGACCGGCGGCCGTACGCACCGAGGACTCGAGCCTTTTCTTTAAGGTGGAAATCTTCTCGAGCACACCATGATCTGAAGCGATAAAGAAAGAATAAATGAGGGCAGCGATACAGTGCAGGCAGAAGACTATTTGATGGGAGGAAGCTGCATTTGACACTGAGGTTGACCGAGGACCGAAGCATTCATTCATTGGACCGTGCTTCGAAACACTTTTCGTCCCACGGATCATTGCAATGCCATTCTTTCTTTCTTTCTCCTCTTGCTTCGAGCCTTCCCTCGCTCTCTCGCTCTCTCTCTCTCTCTCTCTCGTCGCGAGCCTGCATCTTTTCTGCATTCCCTTTCGTCGATTATGGATGCGCCAGTTGCAGCCCCGAGCGAAGAAAGAAGCATCATGTACTCGACTGCCCCAAAAGTGGCCATCATGCATGATCAGAAAGGGACCAATGACTTGGGCCGGAGTTTAGATGCCCCGATGATGTCATATTGGGTAAGAACACTAGGCCGCTCGCCTTTTCTTTCTTCTAAGAATTTATAGGTTAGGTACAGCCCTTCATGACTTGTGTTCCTCATTTCTATCCTGGATTGATGGCAATCTATGCAATATTCAGTGAGTGGGTCAAAGCAATAACTGCTGCCCCTCTCGCCCCTTTACGTTGTTCGTTCTGGCAGACGACTCTCTTTATTTTGCTTCGAACATGTGGTGACATGTCTGCACTATTATACTCCTCCACTCCCCCAGACGCACGAGAGAGAGAGAGAGAGAGAGAGAATTGGGCTCTCGCTTATCCCCCCACCCTGCTCCTGCCCCTAGCCCCCTTGACCTCGGATTGTATTATTATTAGTCCCCTGGGCTTCCCTTCCCTTCCCGTTCTGTTTCGGTGCCCTTGCCTTGCCTTGCCCCCGTGCTTGGGCTTGGGCTTGGGCTTCTGAATCTTTTCTTCAACGGTCATTGCTGGGAGAAGCGATCGACTTTTCTCGCTTCGGGGTCTGATGTCACACCACACCAACGGGCGGGCGGGCGCTGTACAGAGTCGTGATCCGATCGAGCGAGTGCGGAGCATGCACCGCTCGCTGATCAGATCTTGATGGGCTTGCTCTGCCACTCGAGAGGGGCAGTCAGGCGGTCTGCCGCCATTAGCCCAGCCCCGCGCTTAGACTAATGTCCCACATTGACAATGGCATTGACATGTCCGGTAAGCCCACCCGCAAGCACCCTCCTTGACCCCCCTCCCTCCCTTGCATCGGACTCCATCGTCTTTCCTTCGTCACAATGTTATGGATGGCGAGGACCGTCGGCCTTGTGTCAGACACGATGTTCGAGCTTGACTGGCTTTTGGTTTTTTACAATGATCCAGGTACCGCGGAAGGTACCTGGATACATTAGATAACGCAAACTAGGAAAAGAGCCATGGAGCAGGAGAGGAGTGGCATCACGAGGGGCTTCGACGAGCGCATCCTGGACGAGTCGTCGTCGTCGTCGTCGATGTACGAGGCCGGGTCGGTCGAGGCGAAGAAACGAGGGGCCCCGGTGATGCTGATGGAGTGGGTGAATGGATGGTTCCGCACATCTTCCTCCTCACGGCGCTCCGTCGCTCGCTCGGTTCCTTTCTTACCGGCCAAGGATGCGCAGCCATTAAAATACGCACCGAGCCATCGATCGATCGATCGAACGAGGGAGGGCGGCCGAGGAAAAAGGAATTCAATGCTTCCAATGAGGCGAATTCGGATCCCACGACTCGAGGGATTCACCCCCCCGCACTGGAGTGAATGGATGACCCAAGCACCTCGTCTTGCCTTGACCCATCCTCCGTTCCATCATGGGTCCACAGCACAATTCTGGAGGCCTGCCTGAAGTTTCGTCTCGCCAATCTCCTCCCCTCCCCTCCCCTCCACTCCACTCCCGAGCAGTCGGGTCGGGTCGGGTCGGGTGAGTGACTAACCACGAGTGGGGCCGAGGGGCGAGCAGAGGTTGCACTACTAACTGGACTGGGACCCCACCCCCTCAAACAAACCATGTGGTGGTGGTAGTGGTGGTGGTGAGCGAGTAGCGGCGAGCTCATCTGGGGTCCACCGGCTGCGAGTGCTCGATTAATGCGATTCCTTCCATGCCAATTCAAATCCCCGCATTCATTTATTTTCAAAAATAGCACAAGGCGAGGCGAGGCGAGGCGAGGCATGGACCGGACCAACCGTGCATGCCCCGAACAAATGCATCCATTCACCGCAGCGAAATTCAAATGCGAAAAGAAACGAAAAGGGGAGAGAAAGGAGGGGAAAGGGGCAGGGGGAAAAGAGGGGAAATGATTTTCGTGAGCTCTCCCTTCACGAATCGAATATTGCTCCGACTTCAGCCGATCATCATTCTCACCTAGCGCAGCACCTCACCCCCACGGAATTTCGCTTCTGAGCAAGCGAGGAATCTGTTTCGGAAAATACTCTTCCTCCTCCTCCTCCTCCGGCTGCAACGACCGACCGACCAACGTCCCCCACCCCCACCCCCAGCCCCCTCGGCCCCTTGCCCCCTCGCCTCGGATGGACATCTCGTACGCACTCCGTCGCACCCATCCCATCCCTTACCATCCCATCGGCACCCCCCGAATCGAATATTAGCCCTCTTCTCTCTACCGGTCTCGCCTCACTTCGCTTCCCCCACGGCGGTCGCTCCACTATTGCCCCTGCATACCGTACATGGCCTCGTCTACCCCTAGCCCCACTAGGCCCAGTCCCTAGCACCACAGAGCGAGAAAGAGAGAGAGAGAGAGAGAGAAGGGCGGGGGGGGGGGGGGGAGGAAGAGAGAGTGGACAAGAGAAGCGGAAGACCCCACCCCCCCCGGTGCTACTGCTGTTCCGACTCCTACTGTACTTAACGGCTCTACGCAAGGCAAACGCTAGTCTGGTCGAGCACAGCGTAGCCCGGTCTAGTCCATGCCACTGCACTCCACTCCATTCCACTCTACACGGTCTACGGGGGCTACGGGGTCTAGTCCACAGAGCGCTACTGATGGGAGGAAGATTCATAGAATAAGATTTGATTATTGACCTGGAATGAGATTTGATTATCCATGGGCTTCCAGATAGCTGTCAGACGACTCTATGGACCGACCGGAAGATTCGCTGGCCGGTGACAAGCCCCGCGCGATAGATAGGAATGAGTCTGCAGCTGCTGTACCCGACTCCCTCTCTCTTTCTCTCTCTCTCTCTCTCCCCTCTCTCTCTCTCTCTCTGTGCCCATCTCGCTCGCTCCGGGGCCCGGGCTTGTTCCCGCAAATTAACGACCAACATTTGCCTCGTTTGAGCTGGGTCGAGGGCTTGTGCCAAATCCACGTGGATCGGACACGAGATTTGAGGACGGTCGCTTCCCGGTGGCTGGGCTTGGTTCCCGCTCGCCTCCAAATTCGCGATGTGGGGGGGGGGGGGGGGGGGGGGGAAGGGCAGGGCAGGGCTTCGGCCGAGGTCGGAAACTCAAGCTCCCGTCATTTCGGATCCGCGGACCTCGTCTTCGGCATCGGTGCCGGTGCCGGTGGCTCGACGGTCCGTCGATCGTCTTCCCGTCTTACCCCGCCACCTTGAGGATCGCATTAGGCACCGAAGCAGTGACCGCTCACAGAGTAGTAGACCCGATGTCGCGGGACTAGTCCTCCACTGAAGTCAGTCCACGGAAGCCCCAGGGGCCTCCGGTGCCCCGGACTGTGGTTCCACAGCCGCTCGAATTTAGCGGTCGAGGTGGGAATCCGTCCGTGCGACCGCGGCCGCGGGGGTTGGGACAAAGTCACGGACCCGTGCCAGCCAAGTTCCAACGCAGAGCCGAGCCAAAGGATTCGTCGGGGCCTCGGCTCCAAGTAGTCGGGGCCTCATTAAAGCTGCAATGAAGCGCACACGCCCTGGCCCTGGCCCTCGCTCGATACAGGAGGAGGAGGAAGCACGGAGCCAAGTACGTACCCCGTCCTTGGCAGGCCAACGAATTCCGAGCCGAAGTTCGGACTTTCCCCCGCTCTGGAGCCCGGGCTCAGACGGAGCGGGTGGGCATGGGGTTGAACGGAATGCCAGGGGCAGGGGCAGGGCCGGGGGCAGGGCCGGGTGAGTTAAGACCGTGTAACGGGTGGGTGACGATTTCAAACAGAAAGTTCCACGGAGTCGTCGCGGCGAGGCCCACAGTTGAAAATGACGACTCCGTTTCGCGGAGGACGAGAAGTCAGTTGCTGGATGAGCCGCGGACGGTGGTGGCAATGGAGTGGGGGGAAGGGATGAAGACGAAGCAAGGCAGCGGAGCGGGCCTCCGATACTCAAGTGCCGGTGGAGTGGCGTGGCGTGGAGTGCGTCAGAGATGCGAACAAAAGTGGGTGCTTGTATTATCCCCAGCTGGAGGGGGGAGGGGGGAGGGGGGAGGCGGGAGGCGATGGAAGGACGGAGGGGCTATGACATTCTGCTCGCGGGGCTAAACAACAAACCAACGGGCTCGACGTCTCGGAAGCGATTGGGGGCGAGCAGACGCTTGTCTGGGCGATCGCGGTCCCTTGACCTGGGTCGCACGCACATGAGGTGCTTGTGACTCCACTTCCCCCACCCCCCCTGATCTGGCCGCGCCTGGGGCTCGGATGAGGACGAAGATTCAAAGAGTGGATGCCGCCGATTGACCCTTCGGGACGAACCCCCGCATGCAAGCAAGTTCCAACAACGCAGGGCCAGGACGGAAGCGAGTCGTCGGGAACCCCAAGCCCTTGGCGGAGGGTTAAAAAGAAGTGTCCGTACCTCTAAATGTGGCAGGACCGCTCCAAGTCTGGCCGCCCCGGTGAGTGCATACCACACGTTTGACTGGGGCTGGGGGTGCGGGAGGGGACTGGAGTTGGTGGTTAGTGCCACCAGTGCAAGGTTCGGATGAGAAGGGGCAGCAGGGCCTATGGCTTTATCCTTATCACGCCAGCTTGACTTATTCCCAGGAGAGGGCGGGGCAGAAGAATAAGCACGGGAGAGGGTGAGTGCGCATTCGGCCTAGCACTGGAAATCTACGACTGGTGTACTGTACTCGATTCTAGAAGGGATGGAATGAGCTATTTTCTTCGAGGCTGGTCGTCTTTGGCCCATTGATTATGATTGTGGCGAGATGGGCTCGATTCTAGAAGCAAGCGAGAAATGAATAAAAATTACAGTGGCGACACATAAAAAAGGGAGTCAGGAAATTATTACTTTTGGTGTCCACTTTTCGTCATCATTTTGGATTCTTGCTTTTCAACACACATGCTCTTGAATCTCATCACAACACACTATGCCTCCGTCATCACAACTCCATATTTATGTGCCCATGACTTATAGGGGTACCCGCCTAATATCCAACGCATTCCATTCAAGAGTCAAGAATGGTGATCTGTGTAGCCACGCAGTAGTTCCCAATCATCACATGGTTTGCGTAAGGCAAAGGAACTTTGTACTCCATGGGCTCCAATATTATACTCATTTTTTTCTGTTTCTGTCCTCTTGTTTATTGATGGACGATGTGCTCGCAAGACAACCGAGTCAAAGTTGAGTGCAACACATGAAATCTCGTTGGGATTGTGTGCAGTAAGTAGTCCATCGTTGCGGTAGTAGTAGCTGGTAAGATTGACTTGACCTCCACGGTCAACTGCGGTCCATGCCTCCTCCTTCCTCGCTTCCTTCCTTCCTTCCTTGCTCGCTCGTTTGCCACCTTCAATAATTCAATTCCTATTCAATTTCCCAGGGTGGGCTAGGGCGGGCCGTCGGGCCGGCCGGCTGGCTGGCTGGCTGGCGGGCGGGGCTGCGGAACCTTTTCTTGCTGATGCCATGCCAGGCCAGCCCATTCCCTCCGTTCATTCATCTCAGCTCATCTGCGGATGGATCCTGCTGTTGTCCCGGTCAATTCCAGTCGAGTGCGAGGCTATGGTGCCCTGCGCTTCCACCAGCGCTTTTACTGATGATCATATCCATCTCTCACCAACACACTCACTCTCTCTCCCTAATGTCGTTTCGGCCTTCGGGCTTCCCATCTGCACCAGATTGCTGCTGCTGCAGCAGCTGCGTGGGCTGCGTTCTGTTCTGCTCGCGTAAAGTATGCCCAAAAACTCCGTCTCTCGCTCACATGCAATAAAGTTAGTGCTTCTCCTCGTCACCGCCTTCATCTGAAATTCAATGTCAATGTGGTTGAAGTTGTTGTGGTTTGACTGATAATTATTGGCTTGACTCTGAACGGTTTTGACATCGTTGCGGTCTACCCATTGCCTCTGTTTTTTATGTGGGAATGTTGAACATCATTCACGATAAACGACGCCCTGCTTCCGAGTCGCAAACAGACTCGAATCGTTTCTCAATTTCGATGTCGCTGTTCCACAAGGTACTTCATAACTAGTATTTCTGCCTCTGATACCCTCTCCCTCTCTCTCTCTCTCCCTTGCACCTCCCTTCCAGCATATTCCAAGACATCTTATAAAAGTCTTTTAAGCATGGCTACATGGAGAATATCCAACAAGAGAACCAAGAGTAACGAGGGTGGAAGACTATAATCTGATACACAATTATATGAACTATAATATGATGGGCTCTTTGTTTTGATAAACGAACCAGATAACACAAGGTTTAAGTGAAAGTGAACTCATTGATTGAAACTGCCTCCAGGCCCAGAAAATATTGATGAAACAGATTTACGGTCAGAAGCACACGAAGGGAAGAGAAGATAGCACCTTCCATATGTTTTCACAGGACATTGAGAGTACAGTTTTTCCAGATGACTCTAGTAAATGTACACGGCATTCTCAACAGCATGACGAGCATCACTTCATGAATTAAATTATGAATACTTGTCCTCTTATCATAAGTCGACAGCAAAAACTCAATTTTCATAATAATGTGTATTTGTTGATTTTCAGTTTACGTATAAATCATATGTTGTACAAATATCATAACGATGAAGGAGGTTTTTCTATGATAATGCAGATAAGATTTCTAACTTATATTTATAGTGGATGCAATATAGTCTAGGAGCGGTGAATAAACATGGAGTCTTTAGTATGTAATATTCTTGTTACATCTATTTGAGTTTATCATCTATACACCAAATGCAGTAGAATTAACTTTAAGATATATACTACGCGTAACCGTATAAAATACATTAGCCCTCAATCTACTATACATGTTTATCTGATTGGTCGAACACCCTATGTTACCACATCCCTACTACCCTACATCTACTATTACCAACCATCGACCAACAAAAGAACCCTACTACCTTGCATCGACCAATGAGAGAACTGCCTATACTAGAGTGAATGCTAATTAGCACTAGTGAGTGTCAATTAGCCGCTCCCATAATCCTTTTGTATTACTCGAATAACAATGATCTATCAAGGAGATAACCACTTTTTACAACATGAGCATAATTGGATGGTTCAAAAAAGAGAATTATTTTCTTATTTCAATATTTGAAATATTTACTGGTGCGGTGCATACGAAATTGATCACCATTAAAGCTAAAACTTTTTTCTACCTTTAGTGATTACACTTGTGTACTACTTATTGTTGGCTATTAAGCAAAAACTAAAACGTGTCAAAGAGGAAATGTTGTGGACTTCTCAGTTGACATGCACACCTTGGCCCGGCCTTGTCGTATATTAGGCCAAGACCCACCCTCTCACGTCGTTATGTAAGTTTCCATGTGGGAGACAGCATCAGCAGCATGTGTTATTACTATACCCAACAAAATCAATGTCGCCGACATTGATTGGCTCATAATCGTGGTTTAATTCTGATAGATTGTTGATAATATTGCAAGTTACTGCCAACATTTTCGCAGGTCCACTTGGAACACAAACTCTGCATCGCTCGGTGTTGGATCTCCTTAATGGCCAACAAGCCAAGATTCGTGAGAATTGTTATTTTTTGAAGAAAAGTACATATACCTCGACATGTTCATTTTCTTTTCTTCCAGAGTGATGATCACAGATGGTAAATTGAAATCCTTAAGTAGATTGATAGAAAAGTCATTAGAAAGTCACGTACATATTCCACTCGGGCCCAAAATATAGACATCAATATGGATTTTCTTCTCTTAATGTCGAGACTCAATGAGTTGAGTACTTTCATAGCAGCTAATAACCTTAGACGAATTTATTTGATCTTCCCATCCTTTTGCTATATTACATTCTCCTTGTCCAAATAACACATAATAAACACAAGTCTTTGAAGGCTAAATTATCTTCAAGGGTGATCATCATCTACCACTTCTTATAAACTCCATGTCATAATACATGTGCGTGTTGAACAATAATAAATCATTTTTGCTTCGTTATATTTCCAAGCATTATTTTTAACTTCTAAGAATTTTACAGACGTTACTTTATGTATCAAGTTATGTATTAAATCTTCTCCCTTACTAATCCAAAAAAAAAATCAGTTATCAACTAACCGTTTGTTAGACTGTTGTAGTCTTATTTTGATGTTAAAAAATGATTACATGATTTTCATAAACCAGAAGCTAAGTTTCTTTGTTGATTGATATACACTATTTTGATCAATGATGATTTTTGTTTGTATCGAATTTATTTTGGGGCTTTGAATCTGTTCAACATTGACTTTGGTTACTCGGGTTAGATCTATGTCATAGACTTTTGAGTAAAGAAGTACATTAGGTGAATTCAAGTTTCAAATGACTTATTGAATGTCTCAATGATGAAGGATGCAGATACATCATCCATTGGATATGGCTTGACATAAGGAAGATAACATTGGTATATATTAGAGGTAAATTTGGTATATGATAAATGATAATGATTTTAGTTTGGATATCCAAGATAATATTTCAGCTATTGTCGATTCTTACAAGTCACACATAAAACTCATTATAAAAGCCAGATGATATCGCTTATTTATGGTCATGGATGGACATAGAATAAAGCAGGAAATACTAAGCTGTTAATATTGAAGTCCTATTTGATACTCAATACTAAAAAAATAAAGGAGCTGTAGAATGAATTATGATATTGGGTAGAGAGTGGATATTCAGGTTATATCACCATACGAGACCCAAGTTTCATTTTTTGGTATTTTTGTGCATCATTTACTATGACAAGCAAGGATCCACATCACTAAGAAGAGAGGGTTTCCAAACTAATACATCTGTATAGATATCACTTGCTCATGATTCTTTAGACGTTGGAGGAGTAAGCAGGCTTTATCACAATGCGTTCGTTTCATTATATAAAATATATCTTGTGTTGCTTTTGGGATGGGGGCATTAGCATCACACATAAGACTCGATGGTGTTCTAATCCCCACTGCAATCGTTACTCCTCTGCTATGACTGAATGCTGATACGAGGCGGCTTCGTTCGGTCCGTGATGTGACCAGCCAGAGCTTGGAGAGCAGCTTGGCTCGTCCATTCAGGTGGATCTAGTCGATTTGGCAAGAATGTCCGCGAGTCCCACGTGGGAACCAACACTTTCAGGAATGTGGAAATGAAATGGAGAGTCTTTCGATGTGATCTAATGATTGGTCTTTACGCGAAGCACTAAATCTGGAATGACTTGTACATTTAGTACCTCACTAGAAGTACCAGGAGAGAGAGAGAGAGAGAGATGGAGACATAGAGAGAGAGAAAGGTGGACTTGCTTTCTGCGCAGGTTCTTTGAGCGAGCGAGAGCCCGTCGACAAGAGTCCAGTTCCAAAGTGAAGGAAAGGTGCATTCGCTCGGCGAGGAGATTCCTGATTACCGTTACGAAACACGATACATCGTTCGATTTTCTGCTTTTGTTTGGCGTTCTGCAACATGGGGTGATACGACATGGATACCTGAAACCAGCTCCCAGATGCCCCACACTCTCCATGAGTCCATGGCACCTGCAGTAAGTGCGAGACACAGTGTCAAATTCCATAATAATAACGCTCGAGGAATCAAGTTCCTGTCTTGACTTTATGCACTCGGGGACAAAAGATATGACTGCCTCATACCGATTTAGTGCTGGGCCTCCTAAGACCGTGAGACCTTCGTAAGTGATCCACATCTCGAGTCTCAGCAAATACAATTACATGTACACTACATGTACCACGATCGTGTACATTGTACTACCACATTGCAACATGCAAATCATGTACACTTCCTCTTAACCTTTCCCTCATCATCATCTGAGCCCAGCTCTGCCCAGCTCTGCCTGCACTGCCTGGGCCTGGCCCTCTGGAGATCTTGGATGACTCTTCTCTAAACACTTGGTGATGCACACAAGGTCGGTCGGCCCTCGGGGTGTACGTACTGGCTCACCGCAGATATTGCAAGCATATGGCGATGCGCAAGATTGCACCTTCTAGACTTATTTCAGTGGACCGTCCCGTCGACCACTCACTCCGTGGACAAGTGATGTGTGATGGTAACGTCAAGTGCCACCTCGTGCTAGCTCCTCTGAGATCACGAAACTTCTATCACCCAAGGCTGAACTCCCATCCCCTCTCCTCTCCTCGTCGAGGATACAACCAACCCTCCACTTAGATTCTTAGCCTTAGGCCAGTAGTATTCGAGCTTCCTCGCCATAGATTTTCCGGTGTTTGTCCTTTACCACGAGATGATACCGGTTCCAGAATTTTGACCAGTTCCTTGACGGGGTCACGGAGTTGAATGCAGGCATCCCGTCAAGGTTAGGACCCAGTAGACTCGAATGATTGTTGTCTAGGATGTATTGATTTTCATTGTTAGAAATCAACTCGAGCTCGTTGGCTCCTGCGGAGCCTACAGCTGTAGGACAGGGTGACTATACCGTAGCTCGTAATTATACAGTTTGTGGTATTTAGCTCTATAGAAGATATATATTGTATTTGAAGAGCACCGAGGGGAGAATTTCTTTCCGGCTGCATGCGGAAATCCATTGCTGTACAGCAGACCTAATTGTGCTGGGCATTGATGTCAGAACCAAATCGATGACAATAGGGATGTGGAAAAGAAACTCACCTTTTATAATGGCCCTGCCGTGTCCTGTGTGAGTAAATCAACAAAGGGTCAAGCGATGACATCGATATGACATGTTCCATGATGGGAAATCACCAAAACATCCACCCGTCGTCATGTCTAGCGGAAGCAGGAGCAGCTTATCTATTTATCGCCGGATTTATCACCTTGGGTCAAAAGCAAAGCCACAAGAGGTTAATGTGATGGCTGGTCGAATATGCTGTGAACTCGTTTCCATTGGATGAGCACGATGTCATCGAGCACCTCGTAACCCAGATGGGTCCAGAATTCAAGAAATGAAAGAGAGCATGCAAGGAATAAAATGTGCGAGAAGATGTGGCAACATTATATTATCATGCTGAATCAGAACTGTCAGTGGTGCTAGGTGGGCACACTCAAGAGCTTGTGTCTTCGAGAGTATGGCTACATGCATTCATCGTTGTGTGACATTAGTGTTCCAAATAATAACCTGAGAAGAGAGATTGCGTCCAGAGAGTAGCCACTACAAGTTGCACAAAATCAGGGCCATGCACTGCATGTGTTGAAGAATATCACTTTTGGGCTCGTGCGGTTAGTGGCAATTTCTCCGGATAGAAAAATGATTATTGCTGGAGAGTTCACGATGGTGAAGACGAAGTGTTCATTTGATGGGCTGAATCACCTTCAAGGTGGCGTTACATTACACAAGGCACAGTGACTTAGTAGATCTAGGATGACTATGGACTTAAAACATCAAATTCCACTGTGCCTAATTTTTGGGCATGAGGATGATGATGCTTACCATGAGACATTAAGACCAAGAGATGCAGAAAGAAGAAACAGTGATTTACAGTCTTACAACAACTTGAACTTAGATGCAAGATCTTGCTACATGCCATGCAACTCGCTTACACATAACCTGAACAGGCAAAAAATCCCTCGTGCTTGCTTTCCTTGATCCTAATCCCCCCAAATTCTCTCGTGGCATTTCGCCATGATTGGCCCAGAGCATAAAGCAGCTCAAGGCCACAGCATTGCAAATAAGACAGATATCTGCAGATTGCACGCTCGTGCAACACCAGCCAAAAGTTGGGAGGTTTTAGTAAGCATTTCGAAGCTCGGAAGACGAAGCTAACATACTGTACGTCAAGGAATTTGGTTCCAACCGGCTCTCACTTAAAATATAGTTCACAACTTCTGCATTCAAGGCACGCACTCGTGCAACTTCTATGAGAGAATTTCAAGTTTTGTTTTGGTTGGGGTCTACTTTACCGATCCGAAAAGGCCAATTCTTCAAGGTCCGCTTTTTTTCATTCCCTTTCTCCAACAGAAAAGAATGAGCTTCGAGCAGTTTGTGTTGGTCTAAAATGGTAATGGTCGACAAGTAGCAGGAATCAGCTCGTGGCAATCTAAGTGCAAATTTGGCAAGCATTTCAAAACGTGTCAAGTTGCGATTCAGCAGCAAAGATGATGCAGGCCTTACAATACGAGAGTCGTACTCTGCTGCGGTTGGACCCAATGATGGCACATTCTGCAGAATACTTTCCGATTAATCAGAGGATTTTAATTCCGTCAAGACAATGTTACTCGACTAAGCGTGACAACACAAGATCAACAGGGAGAAACTCTGTGCATGGAGAAAGAATAATGTTAGTATGATTGGTCCTGATTGGCTCATATGCTCAGGTCAGCCATGTTCTCAAACATGATTGGTTCGCAAAGGAAATGCAATCCCAAGGAGTGATTCTCTCTCTCTCACTCAATCCTTTCTTAAAAGAAGAAAGCGCCTAAAACGCCCCGAGTTGATTCCTACGGTAGTACCATGTTGGGAGTCGGGACATTCTTTTCCAGACCGAGGCAAGATTGATGAATCAAATGCGACCCTACGAATCACATCAACCGCCGCACCGGACTAATTAGAGGCACGCTGCTGCTGTATTAGAGATCTTCCTCCAGCTTAGCGCAGCCAGCAGGGAAAAGTGTCCCGGGGAGGGGGAGGGGGTGGGCTTGGGGCACTGCTGGGGAGGGGAGGGGAGCTCGGAAGCTCTCACTCAGTAGGAGGAGGAGGTTCGGAGGGCGGACGGACTGTGGAGGACAAGATGAGGCCAGACATCTGGCGGATGCTGATTTAGAATGTTCCGATGCATTTTGCACTGCTGCTGCTGCTGCTGCGGCACTGTAATGTACTAAAGAGCTGTTCATGCGCAGAATTGAAATTATCCCACAAGTGAATGATTCCATTCCCTTCCTCGGGGGCAGTCAGAGGCAGAAGCAGAGGCCACACGGCAGCCACTAATTGACCCAATTTAGTTCCGTATTCATATGGTTTATGTCTGGGTGCCTGTCTGGGATCTGTCAGAAGGGCTGGCCTGCGCTGAGTTCTACAAGCGACAGAAACTCAATGTGCGGCATCGTAGGGTCCTCCAAGGAGATGATTCCAAATATAGAGAGTTCGATCTATCTTCATGACAGAAAAATCCGTCTAATATAATTCCATCCAGTCAGTCAATCACTGGTCTTCCTCCCCCAATGACTTACACGCAGTGGGCTAATAATATCGCACATACGGTCATGTGATTCTCGGGAGTATAATGTCAACAACGCACATGATGCATTCACATTTTTTCCTATATAATATGACTATTATCTTATCTCTTTCTCTATCTGAAAGATACCACGAAATCAAATCGAACATCCGTGGACCGAGATCGGCAACAAACATACAGTATATGCCGTAGACGATAGTCCGGAAGTCAGTCAGTGGTCGAGTCAGAGAGCTCGTCAGACACAGCAACATCTTCGTCTCTGGACTCGAAACCAGAAGCAAGGAGGAGAGTCGAGGCGAGGCGAGGCGAGTCTCTGGGTCTGTGGGAAATAATTTTCGAGGTTAGTAAGTGAGTGATAGGTGCTGAACTCGAAAGTGTGCGAAAGAGAGGCGCGGAGAAAGAAAGTCAAAAACCACATTTGCATCACATCCAGCATCGGCTGTACAGTGGATTTTGGGAAGCACTGCGGCCACTTCGAGTGCTCGTCTCCGATGCAAGTGACATACTTATGGCTCATTGACTCGCATCATAAAGAAGAAAAGATTTGGAAAGACCTTTTTCCAGGTTACAATCCCCATAATATGTACTTGTTTATTAATTAGCTTCCATCTTCATTTGCAAACGAAAGGGTCAGAATCCCTAGAATATATTCCTTACCGCAATGAGCATTTCGATCTGCAGGGCACGGTGTGTGTACTATATCTCTCGCTACCGTGGTCCTTCTCCCCCATCTCTCTATCTCTCTCTCTTCCTCCAAACTGTATTCTGCTCTTCCTTCTCTCCCCCCATCGCCTCCCTCTCCCTTTCTCCCTTATCTCGACTTTGAGATTGTCGAAGGGAATCAGAAACTCGAGAATCTGGGCTTTTATACAATAAATTAAAAAGCACAGACGAGGGAAAACAATATTTCCTCCAGGCCTTGTCCTGGAGATGATAGACATCGGCTTGCCGAGACGTGAGGATTAGACCATGAATCTATAAGGCCTACAGCAGCAGCAGCACCGTGTGACACTCATGTGCGTGCAGCTAGAGGCTAGAGTAGAGTAGTATGACACAATGGGTTTTGGACTTATCGCCTTCGGCCCCGTCAACTCAGTTCTTGGGAACGCGGGCCACTTCTGGTCTCGCTTGATTGTCTCTTCTCTTTCCTCGAGTGAACTTCTACGGCTCCCGAGAATGACACGAAATCCCTCCAGACACCCAGAGATTTAAGATATAATAATGGCCCCGAGTCCTGAGATGCCGAGACGGCGAGACGCAGGGCTCGGGTGCGCGGACAAGATGCAAGAAAGATACAAGACGCATCGATCATACAAAGCAAGATTTGCTTCAAGTGAGAGAGAGAGAGAGAGAGAGATCGGAGTAGCGTGGAGGCAATTCGCAAGCGAGGGAGGAGGGAGATATGGAGGGATGGAGGAAGACATGAGCAGCAAAGAAAGAAGCCAACGACACCGGAGTTATTTTCACCCATTGCGACATGCGACGTAAAAGGGTGCGTGCAAAATTGGATGTTTGAGTTCCCCCTAGGGCAGCCTGCCTCCACTCCACGGAGTGCCATTGGCCAGATGGAGCTGGCTTCGTCTTTATGCATCGAGCATGTGGTTTAAGTGTCACATGGAATCATTGTAGATGTCCCTACATGAGTGACGCCGCTATTGAATGCAAAGGACCTAAGTGAATACAAAAATTTAATCGCCATCGCCTCCTTGCGACAAAAGGGAGGTGGTACCTCACCAACCAAGCAAGGCAATTTTTCCAGGAGGGAAACAGTCGACGTCACAGCTGTGCGCAGTAACTTCTTCGCCGCTCAAGCCCAACTGCGGTTGCCAGTGCTCGGCTTCTGGCGAGCGGTGAGGCGGATGTCAACATCGCGCAGCATCGGTGGTGGGTCTCGGGCCCTTTTGTCATCCGCTTCATACACCTTCGCTTTTCAGATGGCTTATCATTGTTGAACAACGAGGATGATGGACGTGTTCAATCCGCTCGCTGTATTCCAGGCGAGCTACGTACGCTCCTCATACGCTCTGTTCACTCGCCGAGAGAGATTTATCGGATCTTTCGAATCGGCGTCGTTTGCGATTGGATTCACATCTCGCCGGAGCACCACGTTCGCTCTAGGTCTAGCTTGCCCGAGGTTGCACCCTCTACATCAGCCAGCGCATTTACTGCATCCCATGCCATTCCCACAGTCGGAGACCGCATTCGCGAATGGGGGAAGCGAAAGAGAATGGGGGACGCCCCCGGAATCAAGAGAGCAGGAGAGGGAACGACTCCTCCACCGCAACTCGGCCTCTCGAGATTTAAACCGATGTTGGTGGTGTCACACGAAGAGCAAGAAACCAGAATCATCTTGAAGCTGAAAGTAGAAGCGCTCATCGATCTAAACAAACACCACTTTCCTTGCCTTTCCATTCCTTTCCTTCCCTTTGCTTTCCGGTTGGGTGACAAAGACAAGAAAAACAAAAGAAACGAGCCCGGACATGGAGAAAGGCTCGAGGGAATTGATTTGGCCTTCTTGGTAAGCCCGGACAACTTCGCTTTGCCTGCTCCGGTCCAGAAATCCAGACTCCCTTGACTTCTCTTCTCGACGATGGAAATGAAAATGGGGGAAACCGCATCGCATCGGGAAGCCGGACTGCGCTTTACCCCATGCATGATGATCATCGGGGGCTCGCCCCGCAACAGCTTACGAGCGCTCTTGAATTTGGAGCCGGAAAGGCGAGGCCCCAAGGAGGGAAGGCCCAAGGAGGAGGCTCTGGGCTGGATGACAGCATGGCCTTGGCAGCATCGCTTGGCACTAGTGGATTTTCGAACTTGGAGCCAAAAGGAAGATCTTTTTTAAGGACAGCATTAGCGTCATTCGCCATTCGTCATTGGGCTAGATGCGGGAATGCTCTCATTCTCCGCTAGCGACCCTTTTGAATTAAAAGCCGAAAAGGTAGCTTATGCATATCGAAGGGGTAGCATACCGTAGTGCTAGGATGAGGCAGTAACTGCTGATTCCGGCTCGCGCTCATTCTCGCTCAGCCCTTTTTCTCGTTCGAGGGCATCTCGATCGCGCGCTCGCCCTCCTGATGGGTTTTTTGAATCCAGAGCCGAACCGTGTGGCCTGCTGAATGGAGTAAGAGAATTTTAACTGCACAGCAGATAATATTCCTCTTGGCAACATCCAGTAATTTATGAAGAGGAAGCCTGTTGGGAATTTTCGAGATACCTTTCTCTCTCCTCGTCCGCCCCACGGAGGCCAGTTCCCAGGTTAGATGGGCATGGTGCACGACCGTCCCGTCCGTGTAAACAAAGCGATGCGAGGCTTGCTCTTCTGGGAGGGAATCATCCGAGTCCGCGTGGGGAGGGCGTTCCTTGTGAATGTATGTACAACTGACCTGAAAGCGAGAGCGACTCGTTCCTGTTTGGGCTGCATTAAGTGGAGCTGCATGTCTACCGCTAGCGAATTCCAATCATACTACTTGTCATTTACTGCCATAGGTGAGGGCGATGCGCGGGGCGAGGGGCGAGGGCCGGACGACGCAAGAGGAAAGAGGAAAGAAAGAGGTCAGAAAACACTCGGGCGTAGATTTGGATACAAGAGCAGAGCACACTTTGGGGTGTCATAGAGAGGTCAAATTCTATTCTCCTCACGTCCCATCGCGGCAGATTATGATGACAAAATCCAGAATACGGTAATAGGCATGGAAAAGTGTTGTAGATTTGCCGATGTTTCCATTAAATGCAAAGAAGGCTTCCCGAAGCAGCTTCTGAAGGAACTTGAAAAGAGAGGAATGTACTTCTCCTTTCCCGTTTGGGAAGCCAAGGCCAGAGAGCGGGAGAGCCGAGCCGAGCTGCGAGAAGGCCTACGAGGGGGAGGGGGAGGGGGGGAATCGGATGTGGCATCAACTTTGGAGAAGTTTCGAATTGCGATGGCCCGGGCATGGATGGCATCGGAGCTAACGAGTAGACACGCATGCAAGTTTCGTTAGGAGAGAGAAGAGGGCGAGGAGGAGTGAGAGACATAGCGCGAAAGATCCCCTAATCTGCCCAAAAGCTGGCAGGGCCCTTGAATTCTGCAGGGCTATAAAGTATGAATGATGTTGGGAGCGAGGCAGCCAGCTCCACTCTCCTTCCCTCCCATCTTGTGGGGAGGCATGCCACGCCTGGAATGTGGAGGAGAACATCACGGAAAGGATAGAGTAGCGTTACAGGTGCCTTGCTCAAATTACTCCAGCAAATGCGCGCGGGCGGTCCAAAGCGGACGGCGAGAAAGTTCAAGCGAGCTTCAAGACAGAGAATCCCATGTACGGGAATCCCGAATAGAAGCAAATCTAGCACAGTGCTAAGCACATTTCTTTAATACTTCGACATCTCTCCTCCATTCTCCCTCTCCGGGTGCTCGCCCGCGAGCCAAATTTGGCACGCTGCATTCCTTTTGAGCACCAACCAAATCGGCTGCTGCTGTTGTGGTGCCTTCGAGCTCTGCGCTCGCCCGAGGGCGGAGCATCCGGATTTCTAGCTCGCTCGTTGTCCTTTGCCATGGATGCGGGAGGCAGGCAGGCAGGCAGGAAGGAAGGAAGGAACGAAGGAAGGATGGATCAATGGATGGTCGGTCGGTCTGGAAGGGCTTTGGGGTTTGGGCTTGGGCTTAGGACTTTGGACTTGGGCTTGGGCTTGGCTGGGCAACCGCACGCACACGGCCTCCTCCCCTCAGGTGCCCGGGGGAGCGGGGCAGCCGGGGTGGTGGGGGTGGGGGTGGCAAGGGAGGCCTAAGCCCCGGTGAGGAAAAGTCTTTTCACGGTTGGCAGTTTAATGATTGTGGCCACTGTAGGAATGACGTTAGGGACACCCCTCGCTTTTGCCAAAGGGAGGTCCGATCCATTGATCGCGCCCTCCGCTAGCCCCCTTTGCTCCCTCACTGCCTCCGAAATTTCAAATTCGGCATTAAACGGGCGAGCCATTACTAAAAATGGATAAGTGCAATCGGCCCTGTCCGTCTTTCAGACGTCCCCTGATCGTGTCACGAATGTATGTATGTATGTGCTGCTGCCCCCCCCTCCAATACCCCCACCCCCGCCTGCCTGCCTGCCTGCCTGCCAGGGTTAAAGAGCCATTGATTGATTGATTGACAGAGCTGTGAGCAGAGCAGAGCAGAGGAGAAGAGAAGAGAAGAGAGAGCATCGCAGGTAAAATTTGTATGGAACCCACCTGGATTTCTCCTCCTTCCTTCTTCAGTCGCCTCAATAAAAAGTCAGGGAAAAACTCATTTGGCATGAGTAATGATGCACGTAAAGCTGGGTACAGTGAGTTGCTCGCTTTCGAGGCAGCACTGGATAAGGCGACAAAGACAAGGCCAAATTGCTGAGATCGACCTCACGATGGGAATGCGCAATTTCGAGCAATGGAGCAATGAAGTAATGGCGATGAGATGAGATGGAGATGGGAAGTCTCCAAACCAGGCGGTCATGTCCATCGGGGCTTCCCCAGCCCCCTCCCCGGCCCCCCACCGGGACATCCGGGGGCAGATGGGCTCGCAAGCATGGAAAGCACGGAGGAACGGGACGGGGGAAGCGAGGGACCATCGCGACCTTCGAAGAAGATCCGGCGGGCATATCTGAGAGGCGAGGACTTCTCCTTCTTCCGGAACGGGGGGCAGCGGAAATATCCCCCGCCCCCCGCCTCCCGCCCCTCCCCTCCCCTACCGTGATATTCTGGCCGAGATCGCCAGGATATCTCCGGCCAGAATATCACGGTATATCCAGAATATCCTGGCGATCTCGGCGCTTTCTCGATCTCCGGATTTGTGGAACCGGAACATGCGGGGCGAGCAGCTCTTCGTCCGCCTGGCGGGCGACGACCGGTCTGGCCCTCGCGACCTCCGAAGACGATCCGGTCGGGAGATCCGCCCACGACCGTCGCGGGCGACGCACGGCGGACTGCGACCAGTCGGACTTTCGAGGAGAAGAGGCGGCCCGGACGGCACCTTCGCGGCCCTTTCTGGTCATGTCCGCCGGCTGCGTCCTTCGTGGAGGGCGAAGGAAGGCCGGGAAGCGTTGGAGAGGCGGGGGCTAGATCCGTCGCCAGCCGGTGCTGGTCGTCCCGTCCCGCTTGTTGGGGCTGGTTGGTAGCGCGGGGGACTACGGAGAGGGGGAGAGAGAAGGAGTCCCCGGATAGCGGACCAGCGGCGAGGGCCGAGAGGAAGACGAGGGAGGGGACGGGACAGCTCAATTATTGGCACCTGACCCCGACACCCGCCACGCGCTCCGTGCGCGTGCGAGCTTTTGCCCGACACGATCCCCCCCGCCCGCTTCTCGACTGGGAAGAGTTACCGGGTGCCCCTTCTTGCACGAAACTGCATCGTGGCACTGTGTAACTGGCGGCCGGGCGTGGGCCCGGGCCTGACGAGCAGTACCTGCGAACCTCCAGGTGGCCACTCAGTGTTCGTATAGAGGGGGCTGGGCCCCAGACGGCGGCGTCCATCCGTGGACACTCCTCCGGGCCCTCAATACTGTATTTGCATTATAGTAGGCCCCACCGCGCAGCCAATGGGGCTGCGCCTCGTGCTGACCCGGAACTGTATAATTTAATGGTGTACCAGTCGCAATCAATCGGCACCAGACGCGTGTCATAATCTTCAGAATCACACGCGATGGTGGGCCGGGTCGGGCCGGGCCGGGCCCGGTCACGACTAGCCGGCTGGAGGAGGCAAGCTACACCAAACACTACGAGCAGGCGAAGGGTGGGACACGAACTCCGCCCGTCGCAGCCGCAGGCCCAGGCCCGCAGGCTGCCTGGCTGGGCGACTGGACGGGGTAGGGGGGGTACGAGGGTGCTTAGCTGAGCTCAGTGCAAGGCAGCGCAGCGTAGTCAGCACAGCGTCGCAGAGGCCGCACCTCAGAATCGGGAGCCCTTGTGGACATCTGGTCCTTGGGCCTCGGGCCTGTAGTCCAGCCCGGCCCGGAACCGTGTAGGCCTGGGCCGGACGACCTCTGGAATCGGGTGGGTGCTCGGCCCCCTCGCCCCCAGTACCGCACCGGCAGTCTACTCTTTTGCCACCAGTTGTCGGTTCGGTCGGTCTGGTCGGGTCGGGTCGGGTCTACATCGCGTCCCGCGTTTCGGGCCCCGGCCCCCTTCCTCCCGGCCCACCCCCACCCCCACCCCCCTCCTCCACAGTCTAGACTCCCCAGCCCGGCAGTTCTGAGGAACTCCCCCCTCCGCTAGCCCCAGTGCCCGGTCAACCCGGCCAGCTTACAGTGCGCGTGTCGAAGGTAGAAATTGCATGCGCATGCAGGATGAATTAGCGATGATTTTGGGCCGAGGGGGGGGGGCGCTTCTTCGCTGCGGCTTCTGAGAGATGCGACGGAGGCAAGAGTTTAGTGATAGAATTACGGCTCCATGCCGTATGGCTACGGGCGGGGGTTAAGGGGAAGTAAATATCTCGGGGGCCTCCGTAAAGATGGGAGATCATTACAGTGTTTACGGCTCCATGCCGTATCCGCGCCCCGATATTACTGGAGGGGGGCAAAATTAGTGAGCCCGGTAACGATCGGAGAAGGCGCGTCGCGTCGACTATGGACTGACACACCGGCTACAGTGAACAAAGCGTGATTTCGCCGAACAACAGCCGGCTCGCAACGCGCGGAGCCGAGCCGCTGCCCCCGGCGGGGAAGCGACCCGTGCGACTGTGCACGGCGCTAGACTCACGAGAACGAGGCGGCGCTTGGATTGCCTGGGTCGGGCCGTCGGGGACCAAGGACACGTGCTGGCGCATAAACCGTCTCAGGCCCATAACCAAGCCCCACGCAATTAAACATGCAAAATGCGATTTCTGAGCTCGCCATTGTCCCGGTAAAATCCGTGCCCTTTCCCCGGAGGCGACCGTTTCTGGCGATCTGGCCTGTCCGGGGCTACGGCCAGATTAGTCCCAAGCGCTGCTCGGCTGGGGGCAGCTCTGCGGAGGCGCGGGCAGCGGGCAGCAGGCCAGGCACGATATCGGACGCCTGCGCTCAGCAACGCGCGCAGAGGATGTCACTCGCGCACCTCGGCTGCCGATATCGGCCCCATGGGAGGGATTCGGGCCCATCCGCTGCCCGCCCGCCCGCCCGCTTACCGGCAGCGAGGTGGCTGGCAGGCACAGTGCGGTACAAGAACCGCGGGGCGCGGCGATACAGTGCCCCAGCCCCCCATACACATCCCATACAGGGCGACCACCTCGCTAGGCCTAGGCTGAGGATGCTAGACGAAACACGGATGCACCTAAAAGATCGGCCGGGCAATGCGGGATGCGATCAGCGGTGGCTCTCGCATCGGACGGTGGCAGAGGCCCCACGTGAGTATCAATGCAGGTCTCCCCCTCGGGCATTTTGAAGATCGCCGGACAGATCAGAGGATTCATCCATTCCTTCCGAGCCCCAGCTTCCGACTCCTTCTTCTAGCACAGACTAGCGTCGCATTTATTCATTTCAAAAGCCGTCTGCATATGCTCATGTGATCTTCTCCGCTCTAGCCCCCCTGCGAACCCCCGCCCTCCCTCTTTTTCCCCCTGAGCGTGCTCACTCCCTCGCTCCCTTACGCTCAGATCCACACCCCCACTACCGACGCCAGTGCTTAGCTGTCGCGGCTTCCCGCGTACCCCCCGAGTTTTTCTTCTCGCCCATAGCCTGCGTCCTTCAGTAGTCTTCTCTCGCTCGCGGATCGCTCGCCCTCTGCTTCTGCTGCTGATGCATGTTCTCCTTTATTTCGCCCCCACTCTCTCTCCTCCTCCTCTTCCACCTCTCTCTCTCTCTCTCATGTTGTTGTCTTGGGCTCAGCTCTCGCCCCGCGACGCATCTGCTGCGCCTCTCCTCCTCGCATGCCCAACCATCTCCTCAACAACATCAACAACAACAACATCTGAGGGCCTCCTGCCTTCTTCTTCTTCTCTCCTCGTGAACCATCGCAGTAGCAGATTCTCGTCGTCGTCGTCGTCGTCGGATCATTCCCCATCAGGTGCTCACTCGCACTCTCGCGTGCCCCTCTCGTCGTCTGCTAAGGTTGCATATCGCTTTGGCAAACGAAAGCGTAAAGAAAATCGCGCACGGATGGCTTGTCGTAGAGTCTGCTAGGCGGGCCGAGATCGATCGGAATTCATGAAGCCGTCGCGTGAAGCAGGATTAGAGGACTGGGACAGGATAGTATCAGCACTGGATTCGACGCAGGATCATTGCAGACGAGCATCCGTGGACGGGACCCCGATGAGACTGTAGATCTGAGGCGAATTCGCCCGAGAATTCGAGCGTCGTGATTGTGTGCATGTGTGTGGTGTGCGTGCGTGCGTGCGTGCGTGTGTGTGCGGGCTTCAAGCTTGCAGCTTGCAGCCTGCACCTTGAGCTTGAGCTTGAGCTTTTCCAATTTTCCGCGCCTTGCCGTAGGAGCAGTACAGCTCGCGAGGCCGGGCGCCATAGCTGCAATTGCGGAGGGGAGCCGTGCGCATTTGCTAACGCCGTATGCGTCGTGTGTGTCTGCAGGAATGCACCTGCCGAATCGCAGGGAAAATTGAGGCGCTCGAGCAGCAGCAGCAGCAGCAGCGCAGGAAGGGCGGTGCGAGTGATGTACAAATACTCACACTACTTCGTAGTGGGAGTGTTCTGAGTGGCGCGCTCGGACAAAGGACTGGTCGATGAGCGTTGCAGTCGCTCAACAGAGGCAGGTCATGCTCTTAAGTGGTTGTGCGAGTGAGCAGCACGCGGGAGACAGCGTGGATGGCTCCCAGTCGCTGCTCCACCCGGACAAGAAGACGAACTCGAACCTGTTCGCGCAACGAGCGCTGCAAGAACGTAGGCTGAAACCGCCCGATCAGATTATCGCCTGCCCCCGATGTCAGTCTCTAAATACGAAGTTCTGCTACTATAACAACTACAGCCTGACGCAGCCGCGGCATTTCTGCAAGAATTGCCGACGGTACTGGACGGCGGGGGGCACGCTGCGCAATGTGCCGGTGGGCGGAGGGTGCCGCAAGAACAAGAGGGCCAAGCAGCGCAGCTCGGACCTGTCGAGCGTGCTCACGTCGGTCGAGTCGTCGGGGCCAGGGATGAGGAACGACGGAGGGGGCTCGGCATTGCACCCGGCCTACAACCCGGGCAGCGCCAGCAGCAGCGCGAGCTACTTCGAGCAGCAGTACGATCTGGATCCGGCCAAGATGGCGCTGCGGCAGTCGATTCGCGCAGGGCCGTCGGGCGTGAGCCAAAGCACCGAGAGCGGAATTAGCTCGAATGGCCACGTCTCGGCCTTCAGCGGCGTCACGCACGGCTCGCAGGCGGGCGGCATGTCGCACAGCGCCCAATCGACGTACGAATCTGCGGGAATTATGAGCCTGGGCGGCTTCTACACGCCCGTCAAGCAGGACGTGGCGGCGCTGGCCAGCGGCGATCTGAGCGCCATCTTCGACAATCCGCACGCGCACGTCCAGAGCTTCCGAGCGGCCGCTGCCGCAGCTGCGGCTGCGGGCGCCGGCCCGGCATTGGGCGAGGAGGCGATTGGGTACCAAATTAACTTAGAGCACCTGAACGGAGCAATCGATCCCGCGGACGTGAACGTCCAGTGGCGATTGCAGGCCGCGGCCGCGCAGAAGCAGCAGCAGCAGCAGCAGCAGCAGGTCGGGATGTGGGGCTCGCTCGAGGAGGACCAAGAACATAGAGGGGAGGCTAGGCAGAATCTGCACCACGTAGACGAGAAGGGCTTGATGGAGAGCTTGAGACACGCCAAGGGCAAGTCGGCAATTTTGTCACCCTCGAGCGCCGTGGACGAGGTCGAGCCCGTCACCACGCGCTCGCTCATAGGATCCGGCGGCACGATCTGGCAACCCGTGCCCGAATCGCTGCAACCCTTCGAGCCCGTGTCGCACGATTCGACATTCTGGGGCAACCAAAACTGGCCGCCGCTGGGCGACCTGCACCCGACGCTGAATGGCAACAGCAACAGCGGCGGAGGGGGCGGCGGCGGCAGCAGCAACAACAATAACAACGCCAACAGCAACAGCAACAACAACAACAACAGCCAGCTCCTTTGAGCTGGTGCCATTTTGGCGCCCGCCCGCCCGCTCGCGCCGTGGCCTCCCCGATACGTGTTCCCTAGCTCCAGTGGCTGTACTCTAGCTCCCCGTGGCTCTCTGATAAGATCATCTACCTCGCAGCGGCCTCTCTGCTTACCGTAGCCCCGGGGGCGTTCTGATACCTGACGTCTTAATCGGCCCAGTCTTCCCGACGTACTCTACAATCTCGAGCTCGAGGCAGTTCGCAGCTCGAGTATCTACACAGCGAGTTATTTCTCGCACTAGTCGGAAAGCTGGACTGGGGTCGAGCCCTCTCGCATTACAACTCCTTGCAGTTTACACATCTTCGAGTCATTTCCCCAGGTGGAAAATCGGACGAGGGTCAAGCCCTACACATTACACCTCTCTTCTTGCAGCAGCTTACACAGCTTACACAGCTTGAGTCAATTCGCCCCGGTGGAAATCGGATTAGGGTCACGCCTACATTCCACTCCAGAGAGTCAAGCTTCACCGAAGGTCTACTCACTCTTGGTTTATGAGACACCTCTTACGCTCCTATTCTTTGCTGACGTATGCTAATTAGATGGATAACCATTGAATCTGCATATTGTTGAAGGGTGTCCGAGCCCTCAAGACAGCCTGCGTTCTGCCACCATTGCTCGAAGCACAATGGTACGAAGCACAATAAGGCCAGTGCCCGTCATCCTCGCAGTCCATATTCCGTCCCCGCACGAGAACTCTCGGCTGGCCAATTACATCGACTTTTTTTCTCTTTCGTTATAGGGGTCAGTCTTCGTTAGCAGCAACCAACCGAACCGACCGACCACAGTAGCTTCCATTACTCTCCCCCCTTACTCTCTCAAACCTCTCTCTCCGTATCAACAGAGGATTGAAACACAGATAGACTATATTGGCTACAGCCTGCTGTACGATTCATAGCAATAGTTGAATAGCTCAGTGTTGTAAAACCACCAGGCTCCCATCGACTGAAACCATCTTGGACACAGCGTTGTAAATGGCACTCCAATCATACGCACCGCTTGATGTAAGTTGTTACTGGCAACTGCCATGAACACAAATCCATGTATAAAGGTCCCTTTCACCATGCTATATAAATACGCGTCTTTCACCCCCGTAAGCGCTGTGAGCGACTCTCATTGTACTGTACTTTGTATTCATTTCAATTCTATTCATATTCGACGTTCGCATTCTTCCTCGCATTCTCTGGATCCGAGTAATTGCCTCGATGTGCATGTTTTGTGCTTCTGGATGTGCTTCTGGATGGCTGCTCAATTTCTCCTCGTCTTCTGTCACTCCTGTCTGTCTTCTGTCATCTGATCGATCGATGCAACGAGAATGGCACGAAGGATTTCGTTGTGTTGGTTGGCGATTAGTCGTGTCGGGTCTGGGTCTGGGTGTGGGGGGCTGGGGGCTTGCAGGTCCTTGGGGAAGCCCAGGTGGGAACGAACTCGCTTGCGGGCTGGCGGGCTGGCTGGCCAATCTCGCGAGCGAGCGCATCGAGTTCGTTCTCGAAGGCTTGGCGAGCTGGTCGTTTCTCAAGCAGGACTGTGTTTCGGAGCAAATATAGATTGCGTTCGCACCTCGAGCGCTCAGTTCTGCCAGAACGTCGCAAGTATCTGTGTCCAAATAAATCACAAGTTTCTCTGGGCCGGAATTAGGGAGCGGAGGAACAGTCCAAAACCGCGCTTTGTTTCAAACGGGGTTCAGCGCTCACGTCGGGCCTGTAGCGGATCGTGATTTACGCTTGCTTCCTGTAGAGAGCCTATCAGGATATGGCTCCACTCCATGCTAATTATTGGCCGAGGCAAACCATTTGATGGTTTGGGCCCCGGCGTGAGGCCGAAGGCACTCTACAATGGCTCGTCAGAAGACCAGTTTAGCCAACGTCGACGACTGCAATTAGTATCGATTGACTGAATTCCTGAAAATCTGCGTCGATGCGATCCCACCTCACTCCACTCACGGAGATCCGGCCCGTCGGACATGCGCCCCAGCGCGACGAGGCCCGACCACTCTGGATCGTTGGCGCGGAGGATCATGCGAGATGGATAGCATTGTGGACACCAGACTGACCCGCAGCAGGGCGAGGGATCGTTTATTGCTGCAACCGAGCGCTGGGATTATCGTGGCACTTTGTCGAGATTCCAAAGGCCGCCTTGGTGCGTGGGCAGGATTAATGATTGGGACGGGCGAGCACTTAAGCTGGCCTGGCCTGGCCGAGGCGAGGTCGCATCGCACGCAGGCACAGCGGCCCCGGATGAGATCAATCATAATGGGCCAGGCCGAGCAAAGCTGGACTCAACGATCGGTGGAGGGGTCGCAGCCCCTTCGCAATGTACGCGAGAGCCTCCAGCCTCGCGCTGCATGTACGGGGTAACGGAGAGGAGAGGAGAGGAGAGGGAGAGGGCTTAGTGATCGAATTACAGTACCCCGAGCCGGCTCAGTGAGACAGCCAAGAGAGCGCAGCCGAGGGAGGGGGAAGGCCGGGCTTGGGCTTGGGCTTAAACTTGGCTCCAAAGTAACCGTTGCGCGGGGGTGAGCTAGAGCTAGAGCTGAGCTAAGGCAACGAGGTGGAAGTCCTGAGCGAGGGACTGCGGGTGGGCTTGGGGTTGGGGGTGGGGGTGGGAGCAGACGAAGCAGAAGCAAAGTCTTCGGCGCGGTATCGGATCCAGAAGGGGCTGGACTGCGGAGGAGCAATGGAGAGAGGCTTGACTCGCAAGTAAGTGCCGGGGGACACATGGATGGGGCGGTACGTCTAGAGGACGTCAAGAGGCGGGGCCCAGCGCACTGATATTTTGGTGGCAGCGCGGATGCCGAGGGCGGCGAGCAGGGGCGGAGGGAGGGGAGGGGAGGGGACGGGAGGGGAAGGGAGGAGGGGGTGGGGGCTGGGCTGTGCTGTGGGGCGTTTTCGGGTGAGAGAGACGACGACGTAGACCCAAATGCAGACGCTCGCTCGTTACCCTCGTGCCTCTGCTCTCAGCTGTCCACGTCAAGCCCAGCAGGTGAGGCGAGACGGTATCAGCGGCACGTAGGTAGGTCCGGGTCAGCCCGCCTCGGCTGGCCCACCTCGAGGAGCTCTCGCTCGCTCTCGGCGATGGCGACCGCAATAATGCGCCACCCCAGGTGCATTCGTAACTGGATTCATGCCTCGCGCGAATATTCACGCAATCCGCTACGATTTCGTCAGCTCCGGCTCCCGTCCAGCCCCTTCCACAAGTCAAGGGCGATGGCGCTGCGAGTGGCGAGCTCCTGCTCTTCTGCCCACTTACCTCTTTGTCTTCTCCTCTGGCGGTGCTTCGATCTCACTCCTCTGCGCTCTCCCTCTCTCTCTCTCGAATTTCTCTCTCTATTCTGCTTCGACCGACCAGAACAGGTGAGCTCGACCCGACCCGACCCCGACCGACCATCATCCAGCCGCATCCAGTCGCATCCAGTCCCAGTCATGGCCTCCAGTGCCCCCCCCACGCACTGTTTCGGTTTCTCTCCGCTGTCACCCTCAGCCCTTCCACCTCGCGTCCCATTCCCCCAGTCCCCGTCTCGGATTCACCCGAGCCCGATCCGCGTTAGTTAGTTATCCGATTCTCCACTTCGGCCGCCCTTCCCGGATCTCCTCCTCCGCCAGCCCCCAGGCCCCAGTGCCTTGCTTCTGAATCCTTGCTTGCTTCCTTCCTGCCTTGCTTCCTCGATTGATTGCTTGCTTGCTGCTTCCAGCTCGCTGAGAGTGGGAGTAGTAGTAGTGGTAGTGGTAGTGATGCAGTGAGAGGATCAACGTGCACGGGGTGTGCACTCCATCTCCATGTCATGCAGTGTGGGTCTCGACTGGCCTGTCATGCAGCAAGCAACACCAGCAGCAGCAGCAGGAGCAGGAGCAGCGGCCAACATTGGCATGAGAAATTCAACTTCGCCGGTAGGTGGGCGGCCCGAGTCCGGACAGACAATAAAGACGCAATCCGTCGCTAGATACGGCGCGGCCCATGCGATGATATGCGCTTTCAATGCTCTCTCTGCATTACGGCGCTCTCTACAGAGCGGAGCCCCAGCCCGAGCCCGTCGTCCTCATCCTCCTGCTGCTGCTGCTGCTCCGCGCGCATCCCCTCCCGTCGCGACACCCGAAAAGCACCGAACCGGGCCTTCCGTCCGTCCTCCATTCCATTATTTTTCCCTCATTACTGTTTTCATTATCTTTTCTTTTATGATGCGAGTCGTACTTTCTTCTTCTCCGCCTTTCTTCTTCTCGCTCAGCCGCTTCTTCACTCTCGTCCCCCCTTTCCCGCCAGCCCCCAGCCCCCAGCCCCCTTCCCCTTCCCCCTTCTCTGCGTCAGTTTAGCGAAGCTTACCACGGCGCTGGCAGCCGAAGCGCAGGTGGGAAAAAGTCGCCCTGCGCACGTTTCTCTATCCCATTCCATTTTTCCTTCTCTCCCTCCGTCCTTGCCATGGAACCTTTTTGGTTCGCTCGTCGTCAATGAGGAGCAGCAGCAGCGCCTGGCTGGTTCCCCTGCTGGTGCTGCGCTCGCCTCGACAGTCGAGCCCCTCCGAGGACTTCTGGCTCTTTCGCTCCCTCAGCGGCCAGCCAGCCAGCCAGTCTGTCTTCCTTGCATCATTGAGCCAACAAGCGAATTTATTTTATTTCTGTTTTTTATTTGTTTTCCCCGGCATGAATGAATAAATGAGGCATATGCATGGGGCTGGGCGGGGCCGGCTGGCTGGCTGGCTCGATGGATGGATGGATGAATGGATGGCTTGCCCGCTCCCTCGATCCCTGGCTGGCTCTGGTCGCTCAGCTGTTTCTGTGTGTAATGCAAGCCATGTCGTCGTCGACGAGCCCAGCCTTCACTGCAAGATATTAACATGCGCTCGACATTAGCATGCGCGGCCACCATTTTTCTCTCCGCTCGCCCCTCATCGCATCATCCACCTATCACGATCGCTTCGCAGGACGGCCCAAACGAAATGAATTCAGGTACGAACACATGTTCCAAATCATTGCAAGGGATAGAATCAAAATCCCACGACACGGACCAACCTTCACGAACTCAAAAGGACAGCCAGCCAGCCAGCCTCTCACCTTCGTGATTCTCATCAAATTGGGCAACATTAGCTTCGGGCCCTATATCCACCATACGAACTTCAGCAGAGCAGAGGCCCTTTTTTTTACCCCCAGCCCCAGCCCCAGCCCCAACCCCAGCCCCCTGCGCTCCTCCGGCGCTTATGCAGGCCCCCGCCCCCTTTCCCACCTGAATGACCCCCTCCCCCTCCCCCTTCCCCAGGTCACACACAACACACTCTCCTCCTCAGCGCAGCCGTAGCGATGTCACCGATCTCTTCTCAATGCCCGTTTCCGACCCTTCTCATTCGTGCGCGCTGAAGCACTTGCATTCTTCAGAAAGCGGCTCATCCACAAAGCTCATCCCTGCGAAATCGTCTGATTCAGTCTGATTCAGACTGGAAGATCCAAAGGGGAAGAGGATTCCGAACTAAAAGTGCCTAATAACAACGGTCGCTCGGAAAGGAGGGGGCAAGACCTGGGGTAAAGCGGATGGCTTCTTTTTCCATTACTTTAAGACAGCATCGACCATGAAATGAAAGCTGATCAAAATTGTATCTTTGACCGACCAAATTCAACCTCGACTTCATTTGAGGTCCGAGCATTGGCCAACAAGGGTATGTTAAGAAGTCGTAGGGTCTTCCGACCTCTGACCCTAATCACTATATAGATAACTCTCGAGGCCTTTCCCACCTCCCAACCCTCCAAAAATCATCTCCTTTTGCAGATTGTGTTTGTGGTGGGACTCCGACTTGGGAATTTGCACTGAACTGAACCCCGCAATCGCAGGGGCTGCTGCTGCTGCTGCTGCTTCTCCCTGGGGCCTAAAACGAGCAAAGGTGCCGAGAGCTGAAAAGGTATCTCTTCAAGTCTGCTGTTTTTTTTTGAAGGCCTTGCTACGGTTGGAAAGTTAGATAAACTGGTATACATATATAAAAATAAATATAAACTTTGACCAGAGCCCATACGTAGGGCTAACCGAATTTGGAGTCAACTCGATGAAACAATTCCCCTTGGTTCATGTGTCTAGCAACAACTAATGTCAGAACTTGATTGACACAAATTTTAAACAAAATATGCAGTTGACATGAACTACTTAGGACTCGACGAATGTCAAAAAAAGCAAGGAACAAATTTAATACGATCGCATGATCAACCACTCTCGGTGGAAGGAGCTTGAAAAGGAGATGAAGATGTTCGCTTTATCGATATTTCACATGACCTGAACACCGGTTTAAGAACGCCTTTGCACTTTCAATATCAGAA